ATTGAATTTATTGTTGACTGTGGGTTCGAAGGAATTACGGCTTTGGTGAATTTGGTATCCTGGCAGCACAATTGGCCTAGTGTTATCTTACTGGTTCAATTTCTCCTTCTAATACGGATCTATTTTGTCCCGCTGCTGTGAAGAAAGAGCATAGTTCAGAGTAAGCACCTGCACCAAAGTTTGCTTGGTTTTCTAGGTATGACCCCTCGGTGAAGACCTGGAGCCATTGATCTCCAGGATAATTTACATTGCCAACATGTTTGTGATGGAGATAGGCCTATAGTTGTCAAAGTTACTAGGGTCTTTGTTTGTCAAAGTTGCTAGGTTCTTTGCCCTTTTTTAGTACTGATCAAAGTTGCTAGGGTCTTTGCCCTTTTTAGTACTGGTATTAGCAACTTTCCATTGGTTAGGTACAAGACTTGTCTCCCAGATTTTAACTTTCCATTGGGTAGGTACGAGACTGGTCCCCATATTTTGTTGTATAGTGTCAGCGCGATTTCCCTGGCTTTTGGCCCAATTCTAATTAGAAATTCTGGATGAATGCCGTCTTCACCAGGAGACTTCTTGCACTTCATCTGTTTTATCACAACAATAAGTTCGGGAGTGTTGAATGGTTCAGTAAGTACATTGTGTGGCATTGTTGTGTCTTCCTTAATTTCGCCAAATTTTTACTCATTTCTTTATATCTCTTGAAGAGTTTCTGACAAAAGGGTTTTATTTTGCTTGTGAGAATAGAACCTCGCAAAGTAGTTAGTTAGTTCGAGGTCGGTGGTAAACAGTTTGTTGTTTAAGCTTATTGGTTCTTTCTTTGGTCTTTTCTTGTTTTGGAGGTTACCCAGGAATTTGGATGTGCATTGAGATGAACTTGTCTAAGGCAGTTTGGCCTGTAAGATGGCTTGCCTTAGGACATCTGACTGCTGTCTCCAGGCTTGTTCGTCTTCTGTTTTTCTAGTTTATTCAGCAGAACGCTGTATATAACGAGGAATAAATTTCTTTGCACATCTGATTATAACATTGGTAATATTGTTGCACAGTTTGTCAGGATGGTGGTTGTAGTTGATGAGGCTTGCGTGAAATTCGTTCTCTAAAAGATTTGTGAATCTAGACCAGTCGGCCTTCTTGAAGTTCCATGATAGCTTGGTTGGCATTTTGGGTGTCATGCATTTGTTGCTCATGGTAATTCTAGTAATGACTGGTTTGTGACCAGAACCAGGATCGTCAAGTGCGGCGTGTATGCTCGCTGATGTCGCTTGAAGCCAAGAGGAAATACGGCGTGTATGCTCACTGATGTCGCTTGAAGCCAGGAGCAAGTCGCGAGTATGCTCACTGATGTCGCTTGAAGCCAAGAGGAAACCACTAGCAATGACTGGTTTGTGACCAGAACCAGGATCGTCTTATTTTGCGGTGTGTGTGCTCACTGATGTCGCTTGCAAGCTCGCAGATATCGCTTGAAACCAGGAGCAAATCAGGGGTTGTTCTGGTTCCAGTGTTGTGAAGGCATGTAGCCGGATCCTTATCGCTGCAAATAAGTTCTAGATTGCTGCTTCCTTCCCAGCTGTATTTCTGGTCTTATAGTCCTCTCTGGTGGAATGGCCGTTGAAGTCTCCGAGTACTGTAGTTTTGTGTGAGATGTTCAGAAAATCAAAGTATGCATTGTCCAGGGTGCACCACGTGGAGGTAAGTCTACTGTACACCCAAGACGCACCGTACCTCCGGGGAAATTGTTTATTTATCTCTTCTTTCGTGAACGCACTTGATAGTGAAGTGGCGTCTGCAAATGAGAACCAATAGTAACCGGAATGACTGTTAAGTTTTGAACCCATTTCTTCCATCCTGCTTCACTTTCCCCTTCTAAGTTTCATTTTTATTTTAAAAATCGCCTAGTCGCAAAACTTCATAGAATCTACGAATTGTACTCCGCTCTTGAAAATCTCCTTCGTTGTCTTCAGAATTGAATAC